TATAAAATAGCAGTAACTATTTGTATAGAAAATAATAAATCAAAATAATAGCATTATTAATTATGAAAATTTGATTGCACTTTACACAACAAATGCTAATATTCATGTATAATAAATAACACATATATCACAATCAAGAATATTTTTTATAAAAAACAAGAAAAAATGTATTTAAAAAATACTTTTAAATTGTATTGAAAAATGTATCTTTAAATATTCAAATACTTTTAAATATTTTTATCTTTTTTTTCGTCAAATCTAGCAAACTAATATAAAAAACATTTCTATTTAGATGTTTTAAATTTGTCTATTTTTTATTTTATGTAGTAATATATGCATTATTATATCTCTTTTATTAATAATAGATATATTACATTATACATATATAAAAAAAGAATCTTTTTTATCAGTATGGACGGTTTCTTCGTTACTAAAATTACAAAATATGTAATATCTATCATCCTGAGATAAAGAAAGTTTAATTTTTAATCTCTTTACTTATAATATTTTCAAAACTTTAATAATGTAAAATATTTATCATCTAATAAATCTTCTTTATCGAGATAAATAACGCAAAGAATTATTTAAAGAGGTTTCTATTTAAAGAGTTTGAATGGATTTTAGAACTATTTTTAAGAATATTTTCTTAAAATGAAAACACTTAAAATATTGACGCGCGTGTGTGTGTGAAAAGAGAGAAGAAGAGAGAATGCCAATCGCACTAAAATTTTCTATCTGCAATAACATCAATCGTTAAAATACCGATAAATTGTTCGAATTTTGTGAATTTGCTTTGCAGAAAAATCTTCTTAAGATTATGAAGATTAAAAAAATTGAAGAAAAAAGAAAATCGATTTTTTTTCCAATAAATTCAGAACTTGATTATTCCGAATATTCTCAAACATGTAAGCTCCTTCGCATTGACTTGACAAATCGTATGAAGATAACTTAGTCTCAACGGCAAGACTTCATATGAGTATTAAGGACAGTTCGTGTGATGAAACCCTTATTGCACCGAGAACAAATGTACGGTCGCTCCCCCGTGTGATATCGCTTGTGAACAACCAGAGTAGATCTCTGTGTGAAGGCCTTGCCGCATTGGTCACACGAATACTTCCGTTCTCCAGTGTGTGTGACATTGTGGGTTCTCAACATGGTGTCACAGGCAAAACATTTGCCGCACACTTCACAAGTATATGGTTTTTCACCGGTGTGCGATCTATTGTGAATTTCGAGGCCCTTCGCGGTCTTCAGCTCCTTGCCGCACAATGCGCAAAGGTATTTGCGCCTCTCGCCGTTCGATGGGACACCATGAGTCCTGACCTTGTGTTGCTTCAGCATCGACCTATACTTATAAATCTTGCCGCAAATGTCGCATTTGTGCTCGGACTCGTTCTCGCTAGATTCCTCAAACTTCTCGTTCGATGCAGGATCATAATGATAGAGACGATTGTGTTCCTTCAAGCTATACAACATGCTCTTATAAAATATATCAATATCATCTTGATATCGTAAAGTTAATTGATTTTAAAAAATGTAATAGTATTTTTAATCTCAAAAAACAAAGTTTTACATTTTATTTTCTAAAGCAAGTCGAGGATACGCTTTCGATAGTAAATAAATCAAACAAACAAAAAAAGATGATAATTGTTTTAACAATCGAGAAACGCGGAGTCAGAATTAAATTTCCTCCGAACAACACAACAAAGAATTTAGAAAAATTTAAACACATGGATTTCGATTGAAAAATGCTATAAATAAATTCAACAGTAACAGCAGATTCAATGATTAAGAAAATATACCTGTACATGTCGTTGAAGATGCTATCGCAAGCGTTGCAACGCTGCATGAAATCGTGCGTTGCTGCGTGCGCGATTAGAGCGTCCTTGTCGACAAAATCCTCACTGCAAATCTCGCACGTGAATTCTGGGTGACGTCGCCGTTTGTGTTTTTCTACATCTGTCACACTGACACCCATAAAGTTACACTGGATGCACGGCACAGTCTTCGGCATGTGTGATTTCTTCACGTGAGCGTTAAGCATGAACTGCTGGGGATAATTCTTCCCGCAGATAACACACTTGAAAGGACGATGGATGCCATGCGTTATTCTGAGGTGCGCAACTAGTCTGGTAACGAAGTGAAATTTTGCTTGACATAATTCGCAGATCTTTTCACCACCTTCAAATCTGCAACGAAAACAGCAAGCGTTTGAATGATTATTATAGATAAAGCTTATTGTTATAGCTCAACAATTTATTTACAATTTACTTACAATTTACTTACTAAAATAAATTACATCAGATCTATATAATCATTTTTCCAACACAAATTGCTGTCATGCACAAATAGAATATAATTTGAATTAATAAATAATAAGAAGTTATAGAGGCTTTTTTCTTATTGGTTGAATTACTAAATTAGTAAATAAATATCTACAAAGATATTTCATTAAAATATCAGAATTTCCGATTGAGAATCTATAAAAATTTTAGAAATAAAAATTGAAAATTTATCTTTCTACATCATATTAAATTTAATTTTTAAATTAAATTTAGTTTTAACATTTGTTAGCTATATTTTTTAAATAGCACTGAAAAAAATAATTAATTTTAAATCTTTATCCAAAATCTAAATCTATTATAATTTCTTACATTTTCTGGTGGGAACTATAAATTTCTCAAAATAAATTTTAAAATAAAAACTTTAACTTCTGCGATATTTATAAATTCATTATTCTCTGTGAACTTGAAATGTACGCAAGAGATATATATTAGGTGTAGTAAAAAGAAATCCATTATTTTTGCATGAAATTGAATGGAAAAATAATGGATTTCTTTTTACTACACCTAATATTAACATACATTATATGCAACTCACTTCTGTCCAAAATCAAGCAAGTCTCCATTCTTCATCTTCAAATCGTGATTATTCGTCCACTGGCTGCAATGATCGATACACATTTACGTAAAGCGTTGTAGAAAGGTAACTGTAATTCTATTAACATTCATTCGTTACCTATAAAATCGATGCTATTGTAAAATGCGTTTCCGCAGCTGAAAAGAACTCACACAGATCGCATCATAGAAAGCCACAAGTGACGAATGAGATTCAACCGTAAATTTTAGAAACAAAATATCATTTCTTGTTCCAAAATTATTTATGTTACATTTATTACAAAATATTACAATCGCAGTCAACAAATCAGTTCTAACTAGAGAGATCGGAATGTATCGAATTCGTCGTAAGTTTTCCATTTCATAACTTAGGTTGCGTGATCTTCTCATGCATTTTGTGATGTCTCTTGAGCAAGGTATTGGACACAAATCCTTTATCACAATCCGGACATTGGTAAGGCCTCTGACCCAAGTGATATCGCAGATGAAAAACCAAGGATGTCCTTTGCGTGAAACCGCGGCCACACTGTGGACACATATGCGGTTTATCACCTGTGTGCGTTCGTTTGTGAATATTCAGATTCTCCTTACTGGCGAACTTCTTATCGCACATGTCGCATTCAAAAATTTTCTCGCCTGTGTGGCTGCATTTGTGCACTATCAGTCGTCTCATCGATGACAATTCTGCACCACACAGATCGCATAGGTGCTTCGCCGGAGCGTTCGTAAAGCCGTGCTGATTTTTCATGTGCCTATCCAACAATCTTTTATATACAAATCTCTCCGGACAAAACTTACACGCGTGCCTCGTCCTCACGTTCCTTGCAGTTACAGCGGTTTGTTTGCTAGTGTGATACAACCCTAAATGTACTAATAGATTCTTTTTGTATTTGTAATGCTTACAACAATGTTCACAGCGATACGGATTCTTGTTGGTGTGCGTATTCTGGTGCTCTATATACTCAGTCCTGTAATAAAAGCCCTTATCACAGGTCTCGCACTTAAAGCTATAGTCCTTCGCATGTCGACGACGATGGCATTCCAGATTGGATTTCTGGTTAGTGCTGTACTCGCAGAGATCACAATTGAACACCCTCAACCCTGTGTGAATTAGTTTGTGGCGAGCTATATTCATCGGGCTGCGAAATGTCTTGCTGCATTCATCACAGCTAAATGCTCGGTCGATGTTATGCAGATTCTTCAGATGCTCCACGAGCTTCCGCGTATGACGGAAGCGAGCCCCACATTTGACGCATTGGTGCACGTCGCGCGATCTACCCCGTCTTTGCCTGAAAGGAGAGGAGAATAATGAAATACATGTTTCACGATAGAATTTTATAAAAGAACACAAAAAATTAATTAAAACAATTTTCCACTGAAAAATTAACTAACTACATTTTTTGTAATAGATTTGTAAAAAATCTTAAACAATTTACTTTTACTTCTTCAATTTGTGTAAGCGTTACCTACCCTTTTCATCACTTTGTCTTCAACAAATAGATATGATAACATAAAAAACCTTAACAATATATTAATAAGGTACTGACGTAATAATTCTGAAAAGTTTAGCAGTTTTTCTGTAAAATTGAAATAGAAATTGTAAATAAGAATAAATTATTTTGTTATTAAATCGATACGATATTTTTAAATTAGATTAAT